TAGAACTAGGCACCCAGCAGAGATTAATTTGCGCCCCACCATTAAATCGCAATCTCAACAACATTTCTGTCACTGCGGTTGATAAAAGCAATTCACTTTTTCGAGTGGCTGATGAATGGCCTGCGGTCGGTCGTAGGAGCTCACCAATTAAGCAAGGCATTCAGCACACTGGTTGATACTACAACGTGCAAGAGGCTGTGCTCGAAGGATACTGCTGATAATACATTCAGACCTCTGTTGGTGACTGTTAATTGGATTCTGCACAGGTTTGGAGCATGCTGAAGGCAGCGAGAAAGCTAGGAGAATCCATTGAGGACAAGTCCATTTTTATAAAGGATTCCACTTCTTTAGAGAGAGCGGATTTTCGCAAGAAATGGCAGGTGAGAATCGGGCGGAAAAGCACTGAAAATCAGGTCAACCACTCTCTAGAAGTCAGGACAACACCGGCCGTTCATGGTCAGTCAGAGGAGCTGGAAGACAATTAAACAGTAGGAGTCATGTCCACAGATCCAGGCCTGTAAATAATGTAGGAAGTAACCGCCTACATCAAAGTGAATGTGCGCAAAAAGTTTTAAAATGTATCTGCACGAACTCGGATTCCATTTTGAACAAAAAAGTGGACTCTACTGTGATTGCGAACGAGTGTATAAACATTGATTGTATTACTGAATTACTGAAACACTCCATAAAAATCATGGCGGGGGGAATTGTACCGGTTGAATTTCAGTTGCCAGGTTTTGATTGTTTTCATAACTTACACGAGGAGCAGTGCAGTAGAGATGTAAATCTGTAGGTTAGAACCTCTAATAGGGCCCAGCAAGTTAAGTTATTTGCAGATCACCAATCAGCTTGAGAATCTGTGTGGTGCGAACTTTCTCTATAAGGCAAGGATAGCCTCCTCATAAGCGTCGTATATAGATGACCAAACAGTTCCTCTGATAATGATGAAGTAATGAACAGCCTTCTACCGAGCATGACTTTCAGTAAGTCGCATACGTTGATCATAGGTGACTAACCATCCAGAAATAGACTGAGAAGATGAATCCTCTCCAGGGCCTATGTAAAGAATTTTACTGAACATACTTCTCCCGTGTACATAAGGTTGGGACCTTTTACGTAGGACCAGAGTTGATGAGCTCGGACAAAATTCATTTTGAACCAAACTTGCCCGAGATTGTTCAGCAATTTGGTATGTTATCATTTACTTATGTTATGTTCCTTTTATTGCTTGTTATCTTGTTTTTTTTCTATATTGTTTATAATCTCGAATATAACCTAAATTTTGTATTCAGATTGTTCATTCTTTGTTTTCAGAAACCGTTACAATCCACAACGAGTTTTCATTCTGAACAATCCCCTGAACAAAGAGCCATATTCTTTACAGTTTCAAATTGGCTGACTGCAAACTATTAGAAGTGCAGGAAAGAAAGATCTGATCAAGTTAAGGCAACAGAAGCGTAATGCAGCGCACTCCACCCAATTGCAAAAGCGACGCCATGTCTACGCATCCGTCTGGAAAACTGGCAGCTGTAACTAGGAAGCAGAACCTAATAGAAGAAGAGCTTCTTAAGGACACAGTAGACTGTGTTTTGATTCGTGCTAAGTACACGGATTATTTGTTGCAGTTAGAGACCTTCCTAAAGGCCTGTGAACAAGACGTGGATGAGGACTGGCTGAGACCCCACCGTGCTAAAATAGACCTATTTCTTTCAAAAATGGAAGATTTCTTCGCGTCTCAACGGGAGCCGGATGCTTGTTCCAGCCATGGCAGTCGCCGTTCCGGAAGCGTACGTTCGGCTGCTAGCTCCACAACATCGTCAGCCAGAGTCAAACTGGCCCAACAACGCGCAAAGACGTACGCCGAAAAGGCCCTCTTCGAGAAGGAAGAAAGGCTTAAGGAAAAAGAAATGGCCATTCGACGTAGCCAACTACAGCAAGAGGAGGAACGCAAGAGAATCCAACTTCAGCAAGAGGAGGAACGCAAGAGAATCCAACTTCAGCAAGAGGAGGAACGCAAGAGAATCCAACTTCAGCAAGAGGAGGAANGTTTACTACATCATTCAACAATTTCGACTCATTGCCGTGCTCTTCCACCAACTCCTCTCTTTTTCGAGCACCAAGAGTTGGTTTTTCGCAATCACGGCAAAACCAATGAAGCAATTTAGATTTCTGGAGAAAAGATATTCATAATAATTGTGTTTAGATCCTAGAAAACTCTTTAGCGATAGATTAAATATCCCCTATACAGATGTACGACCTCGGTCTGCCCGACAACTCCATCAGGTCTGTGGCGCGGGGCTGCCTCAGCGAGCGCGTGCCGGGTCATCCCGGCGGTGAACGCCGCGGTCAAGACGCCAGCAACTGAACAGTTCAGAGTGAACAGATGCGCTTTAAGAGTCTGGGGTAGCGGTCGCGGAACTCAGCATCGAGCCCAGGCCGCAGCCGCTTGTAAAATTCGCTCGTTGGAGTTTCTGCCTCAGTCCAAAGTTGGCCTCCGTCGTCTGGCTGCGCATTCTCCTCCACTCTCCATGCATACCGTCCACACTGTCTCCATTTGTACTGATAAAAATGTATTTAAAATAAACTACGAATGCTTGAGCATAAATGCCATAATTTCGTGTCAACACGTCGAGGCATACATTTTCATTACTTTTTAAAATCTCTCGAGTTCCTCAGTTACCGCAAAATTTCTCATCTTCACTGCAGCGGCTTATTTTTCACTAGTACATAAACCGTTCGCTGCCGATGGGAGAAATTCAGTGCACTGCGAACAGTATCCACTGGTCTATTCTGATCATTTAGACTATTCATGATTATTTGCAACTAGTCTACGATTATTTAGTTTCTTACGCAAATAATATCCGGCTCAAAACTATTTACGCACATTGAAGAAAGCCAGGAAACTATAGTTTATGTCGATAAATTATTTTAATTGCATTCGTGATATTAATCTGTTCACTTATTGAATGATTTAAAAAAAATGATCACTGGTTACTTTGGAAGTTCACTGAGAGTTTCCTCTACTGTCGACGCGAATAAAGGAATGCTGTGGAAAGGGAGGCTGTGGTTTCAAGAGGAGGTGCATGGGGAGGAATAGGAAGGCGGGGCAGCGAATAACGGGAGAAAGAATGATTGAGGGAGGTGGAGAGAGGATGAATGTAGAGAGTAATTAGTGAATGAATTATTTGCTTAAATAATTGGGTCACGCCCCAACGAGTGCGCGTAACATATACGGGACAGAGCTGCGTGGTTTGTCAACTAGTGTATTATTCAACGCCCCAAAGCTTAGTAAAAAAATTTTAAGACAGACTTATTCTAATGAAGACCTTTACCGTCACGTAACCACGTAGTTGAAATTTTGAGCAATTTTAGAGCCTGGATGAGGCATTAGACAGGCAAATCGCGTTTTGATTTTTTTCACAGCAAAAAAAATTAATTACGACCATTATTGAAATCTCGGGAAACATCTCTTGAATGACACGTGGACTCTGAAATTTAACAGTCCATAACAATGTATCCTTTATACTACAGAGTAATTATTGCCTCTTTACTCCAGTAATACAGACGCTCTGTATGGTGTTGTTCACCTGCACCACGCTGAGGTCGGGTCCGCACTCGGTAAGCTGGTAGTGGTGACCGATGAAGTTGAAGTCGGCTTAACATGTCAGTAACCGGATATCATTCGCTCCAGCAGCTCCTAAACAAAATTATCAATGACTCCATTGACTAAAATAAAATCACTCCATTGACTCCAATAAAAACTTGTCAGTACTAATCAATGATGAACTACTGCGATCATTG